TGATCAGCGCGGCTTGTTCGTCGTCTTTTACTCCCTCTATGATCGTGCGGATCAGATGCAGGTTGCTCTGAATTGTTCGGCCCCTCACAGAACAAGTCTGCTCAGGACCCAACAGAGACTCGGCAACTGACTGCAAACGCTCCTGCAGGATCTTGGCCAAAATCTTAAACTCTGTGTTTAGCAGAGTTATGGGCCTGTAATCATCTAGGTTCCCCCACCACCTTTGCCCTTTTTTCAACAGAGTGATCACACCCCTGGTGATCCGATTGGGGATGGACCCCGACCGAAACCAGTTGTTGAACACTGCAGTCAAAATCGGAACAAAGATGTGCGACAGCCTCAAGTACACTTCATAGGGCAAACCATCCAGACCGGGCGACTTGCCTCTGCCGACCTTCTTCAATGCCGCGTAGACTTCGCCCTCCGTAATCTCTCCCTCGCAGCTAGCCGCTTCAGTCGGCGAAAGCCGAGGAAAGTCAGCCAAATAGCTGCGAAACTCCTCCTCACGGAGACCAGGCTCCTTGGTAAACCGGCTCTCGAAATGGCGCCGAAACGCCTCGCACATGTCGTCAGTGGCCCGAAGAGTGTGCCCCTCCGGGGATTTGACTTCACGAATGCAACGATCGCCACCTCGACGGACCTCTTCCCTGCGCAGATCTGCGCCCAAATTCACAGCTTCGGAAGACATCTTGCTTAACTTATGTCTAATTACCTGGCCCATGTACCGCTCGCTATTCAAACGATCCAGGGACTCCCTAGCTAAGGCTATCTCTAGGGGATCCCCCAGCCACCGCCCGGGAATAGCTAGCTTTAAGCGTCTTCACCTTTTCAGCTCTATCTAGAGCGAGCCGTTTGCCGAAATCAGTGGTGAAAGACCTAATCCTACACTTAAATCGCTCCCACCACCTATTCCCGATAACTGCCCCCACTAGCTCCCGCTGCACTAATCTAGTTAGCTGTTCCTGGAAGTCCCGCCTGTCCAGTAAGGACAGATTGAACTTCCAGTACCCAGCTATTCTAGGCCTATGATCTAACGCCACCCGGGCGCAAACGAGTTTGGGGTCCGAATAGCCTACCCAGTGGAACGTGGGACAATTTAAAAGATCTACATCGGCTCTTCTAACTAACATTCTGTCAAGGTAGCTAACTACCTTGTCACAAGGCCAATTAAGAGCCCACGTCCACATTTGCCCCCCGGGATGATCGACCCGGTATCTATCGACAAGACCATAATCGTCGATCAGATCAACCAGGCTACGATCGCCCCTTCTCCCACTAGCACCCCGCCCCCTGTCTAACTTGGGGTCCAGGATGGCATTCCAGTCCCCCATTAAAACTAGGCGCGTCGAATCCACTAGGAACGGCCCCAACCGCCGAAAAAACGAGACCCGCTCCTCCCGGTCATTGGGCGCATAAACCGCAACGACTCGGAACGAACCACTTTTCACGGCAATATCGGCCACGATCAACCGGCCCTCGGCATCGGTATGCACAAGGTCCACCTTCGCATCAAGAGTACGTCTGACAAGCAAAGAAACTCCTCTGGCAAACCGGTCCCCATATGCTGAATAGACGGCAAAGTCATCCTCCAGCACACACGCATCGGAAGTGCAAACAAAGTGGGTCTCTTCGATCGCGGCAACATCCACACCAAAGGACAAGAGGTCCCGGAGCAGGCGGGCAGCCTTACCCCGACTCCTCAAGCCCTTCGCATTCAACGTCGCTATCTTAATTTCCATCTTCTAAGTCCTGTAAAATATAAAGAACAGAATTAACCTATTCACATACCGGGCGGAAATCTGCAGCGGTAAGGACCCCGACGGATTGTCCCAGGTTTCCTGTACCCAACTCGGTCGTCATACGACCACCCAGGACAACACCGCCAACGTCCGTGGGGTAAATTAATTTTATGGCCCTATACAAAGAGGGATGGAGCAGAACCGGGACCCTCCCAGAGCAAAAATGTCTCATCTTTTGAGGTCTTCATTATTTTCCTCCATTACCCTTATTTTCGGATAAGCTTCTCGAGCCTCATATATATGGCTCCACACTTTCAGGTATGCCCCGGTGTCCCTTACGACGGTGATGACTCCTGGGGCGTTAGGGAAGTTTCGTGGATCTTCTACCGATTTCCCATCCACCTCGTCAAGCTTAAATAGGAGCCCCAAGAGGGCCCTTTTTTGTTTTGATAGGCCTTTTTTTGCCTCCTCCTTATCTACTTTACAGATCCCATCTGGACCCGGGAAGTATTTTTTCTTTTTCTTTTCCTTCTCCCTATCACGATGGGGAGGGGTGGAAGTGGACGCGTGTGGGGAAGTAGCCGGTGAACTTAGGGGTGTAATGGGGGAAGAGGGGTTGGAAAACAGGAAGGGGAAGAAGGACGCTCCTAACTTTGGGGAGCTGGAATCTCTTATTGGCGAAGCCGGGAAGGAGCGCCGCCTGGTTCTGTCCATGCTTCGCTCCTCTCTGCTTCGGCCAGACTGTTCTGTTTCCTCAGGATCTTCCTCCCTGCTCCTTTTCAGGGACGGAGTTCGCGGTGGAGGCATTTTATCTACCTCCATTGATGTTTCTTCCTCCACCTGCTTCTCCTTGTGGAGGTGTTGCTGCTTTTTTGCTGCTGCTTCTGCTGTTCCAGGTTTTGCTGTTTCTGCTGATCTTGTTGCTGCAGTTTTTGTTGCTGTTTCGAATGCTGGTGTTTCTGTTGCTGATGAGGTTGTTGCTGTTGAATCTTCTCTTGCTGCTGGGGCTTCTGCTGTGGCTGATGCTGCTGGGGTTTTTGTTGTTCTTGTTTCTCCTTCCGCACTGGAGGAGAGGGTGGAACTGCCACTTTTCCCCTTTCCCCACCTCCGTCCAGGCTCCCGGGCCAGCCTTTTCCTTTGTTGGAGCCACTTCTGTCACTGCTGCTACTGCTGCTGGAGTATCTTTTGTAGTCTGCTGAGCTTTTTTCCCGGGGCACTCCTTTGCCATGTGCCCTACCGCACCACACGCCCAACAACACGGCTTCCTGCCCTCCACTACCACCAGCATCTTCTTCTCCCGGCAAGTCAACACATTTGGTATGTCCCGGAAGTTGTCCCTATCCAGGACTACCTGGAGCACCATGTCTCCCGTTGCTATGCCAGACTTGCTTCTGAGCGCACTGACTTCCTCTACTTGGCCAAATTTGGCGAAAAACGCTCCTATTCTGTCCTGGGTAATGTCGACAGGAACGCCGTGAACAGTAATCCGCGTCTTTCTCGTCCCCATGTATTCTGTTTGGAGGCGCAAGTTTGTTGTGGACAAGATGTTTCCGGCCAGCTGCTTCGCCTCTTGCTCCGAACCAAGCAGAATGTCCCACATGGCATTGCTTCTGCGGGCTAACATTTTGGGGGCAATCTTGAGGGTCTTTAGAGCATCCTCTACATTGTCTCTGCTGACTCCAATCAGTCTATGGGTTTTGACATCCGATGTTAGCAGAGAGATAACTTTGACCTTGATAGCGTCCAAGGCCTCCGGAATTGTAATAAACTCATTCCCCTTCACGTACTCTTCGTATTTCTGTCGTTGTTCTTCGTAATACGAAGAGTCTTTTTTCTTCGGTCCACTCTCGGACCAGGCCTGACTTTTCGCTGGCGACAAATTTTGACTTTGCACCGGCGGTGTTGGTCGAGACATGTTTACGTTTGTGTCGTCGGCCATTTTGGCCGCGACCAAACGAATATAACTGTATTTTTTTTTTTTTTTTTTTTAAATTTTTAAAACTTTGTTTTTTCTCCAAAAAGTATCAAACAGAAAATAAAATGGAAGAAAAACGTGGGCAACCAAAGATAATTCAAACAAAGAAATATTAAACCAAAGTAATACAAACAAACAAAACAATGGGGAGGGGGTAAAAATCGCAAGAACGGAAAAGTAGAATAAAAACAAAAAAGAAAGAAGCAGAAACACAAATAAAGTAAAATAAAGACTTCAAAAAGGTTTTAGAAACTCAAAACTTAACTGTACGTCAATTTGCAAGAAATTGTCCAATTTGCATATCAATACTAAAAGAGTAAATTTATTCAATAAAATCGCCACTGGCTTTAGCCACGGCCTCCAGAGGACTTCGGAATCTCCTGCAACTCTTCTGGGCGATTTCCTTGTTTGAGTTGGTGAATGCTGCCATAATCCTTGCCTTCAGTTCATCTTTGGTTTTACAAGATGTTTTGTTTATCGCCCACACGTAATAATCAAGGGTGTTGCAGTCTGGGGAGTTAGGTGGCCAGATGTAAGAGGTGATGTAGTCCTGTTTGTGTGGTATGGTACAGAGTCCTGTTGCCAGACATAGGGACTTTCAGCGGCCACCCTTCTGACTCAGGTCAGCACTAACTAGTCAAGGCACCACTTGATGTAGGCCTCCGTATTGAGTCTGAGGCCATGTAGGACCATCAGAGAAAGTTTTTCGAGCTGCCGTACCTTAGAAATCACCATTAGACTCATCCAACTCTTTTCAAATCCTCTGCACTGTCCTCAGATTGACACCCAAACACACTGAAATGCTCGTATTAGAGCTTCCGGCGCAGTACAGAATGCCGTTTCTGGCGGAAGTGAATTGAATTATGGCGCATTAAAAATATAAAATGGCGACAATTTACGCATTGCACCCTGTATATTCAAGCAACAATCACGTTATTATAGTAATCAGTCGTTGCAAATCACTAAATACAATTTACGCAGCAAGATAGCTAACACTGTCGTAGACCAATTTACTATTTTAATGAACTCGATCTTTATCGAAGGAACAACGACCGAGGAAATTTTAAATGCATTTTATCAAAATTCTTTATAACTTCAAGTTAACAAAAATTCTATTGTTTTAATACTTTCGTTTTAGATAGCGGGTCTCACTCCTAAATTAAGATATGCACGTATGTACTTAGATTTAAGTTACAGTGTTTATTTTACAAGAGTATTTCCACTTCGAGAAACAAATTTCTTCCAAAACAGGTAGGCACCATTTCTGAGTTTGTTTATAAAATGTCTTACTTACTTGTCTCGTCAATAATAAATCGATTTTCTTTCACCTCAAACACAATGACATATTTCCAAATTCCATCAGGATCCTGCCAGTCAAAACAATTAACGTTAAATGTATTGACAGCTGTCCCATTCATTGGATCCACAGTGCAGCTGCCATTTTCCGGGGCCTTATTTGTTTTCAGATCTAAAATAGCGTAACTCTTATCATATCCGTTTAAATTGTCTAAAATTACTTCAAGGTGATAACTGACATCTTCTTCTAATAAGCCAGCCGACAATTTCACGTCTGGTTTGGTGTTGTCTAAATAAATGAAAATAGACAAAATGAAAAATAAAAATATATATAAACAGTATACGCTGAACGCTTTTGCCTTTCATTGTATAGAGATAATGTTTGAAAATGAAGTCATTCGTTTAAAGAAAGAGATTTAGATTATTACGTTTTAAAAGTATAAAAATTATTTTATCAGTTTTATTTCAGGATCTATTTGCAGCAAAGAGAGTATTTTCTATTTAAAAGTAAAGGTTTTGAAGTAAGTATTCACCAATAGAAGATAACCACTGTGATTCTAGTTTGTGGGCACATATACCCTTTTTATTTTTTTACAGTAAGGTTCACCCTGTACAAGGCTCGAGGGCCACTCGAGGTAGAGGATTAGCTTAAGGGGTAGTTTATATGAATAAGAGCGGAAGATAACGTTTAACTCTAGACTTGAACAGGTTAAGATTGCAGTGATTTGAGAGTCTGTTCCACAGGGCAGTGATTTGCGGGAAGAAGCTGTTTGAGTGGAACTTACTTCTCGCTGATGGAATATGGATGGAATATGGGTGGATTTGCTACTATGTAAGTGACATGTCAGGTTTTATCCGGGAATATTAGACCTAGTGAATCCAAGGAATGTAGTTCGTCCGAGCACTTTCCATGGAAGTAGCCATAGAGCAGTGAGAGACTCGCTACATCCCGCCTATGAGAGAGAAGTTGGAGGGTGGAAATTAATTCTTCTTCAACAAGGATCCGGAGACGCTTTTGAACTCTATGAAGATTGGAAAGTAAGGACCGGGCAGCTCCCGCCCAAATATGGTAGCAGTACTCCATTTTGAGCCTTATCTCTCTCTTATAAAGGTAGAGGATAGCATGGGGAGTCAGGTAATTATTGGAGCTGATCATTTTAACTGCATCCTTAGTGATGGATTGTATATAAGAATTCCACTTGAGGTCAGTGCGAGTTTGAGGCCCAATATTCTCTTAAAAGGGACTTCCATTCATCGTAACTGGCGATAGTTCGGAGTCTGAACCGCGATGATGGAATGTAATAGTTTGGTTTTTGAGGCATTGAATATAGCCAGACAGTTTGGGAAGTTTATTGTTAGATCGGAAGTGGGATCATCTGCCAATCTCTGATCGTCAAGAGTTTTAGAGGTGCGCTCGTATATCGTCGTATCATCGGTATAGATGTTTACAAATGATCGGAGTATATTCTTAAGCAGATCATTTATGTAAATCAGAAAGAGGTGACACCTAGAGGACGCCTGTGCTGACTGCCAGGGCATCGGAGGACTTAATAACTTCCTTCAGGGATATAACTGTTAGGAAGGATTTTATAATTGATAAAGCCCTTTCAGTGATTCCAAACCTTTGTTCCACACCTTGTCGAAGGCTTTCCAGATATCTAATGCTATGGTACTCGATGTGTGTGTGTCGCCAAGGACCTCAATAAGTCTGTGTGTAATGGTAGTTAGGATGTCAGCAGTGGATCGGGACGATCAAAACTCATACTGCTTGTCGCATAGGAGGTTTTTCCTTTCTAAGTGCTTGACAATGTTCTTGTTGATTAAAGCCTCAAAAAGCTTACTGATGATACTAAGAAGACTAATGGTTCTATACTGGGAAGGGAAAGATCGCTCCCGCGTTCTTGAAGACCGGGCATACGCTTGCCTCCTTCCACAGGCTTGGAAAATATTTCTCCAAACAGCGGTTAAATAACTGGAATTTTGTCTGGACCACTGAAACTTTGGGGGTCGAGGCTTTGATAAGTCTAGAGACTTTTCTTACTGAGATTTTGTTCAGTGAGACATGGGAAGATGGAGAGGGGATAGTCTTTGTCATCTAACGTTGAGTTTGAAGCAAAGATCGAGGCGAAGATCTTCCCATTGTCTGTCGAAGAAGACATAAACTCCGGGCCATGTATAATAGTTGGGCACTGTCACTTTGCCTCAGTTCATAATTTGGTTGGTGATCTTCCAAAATTTGAGAGATCCAATTTGTTTCTTTTCAACCTTGGCCTGAACATCTTGCGCGTATCTGGCGTTTTCCAGAACTCTCTTTCGGCGATAGCGGGCGGTACTGAAAGAAGTAAGGGCCAGACTACACTGCTACTTGTGATAGATATTGAACTAGAGGTTCCGGTTATCTATGGCGGCATCACATTAAGAGGGAAACCAGGGCCAACTGTTTTGGTCTTTGCTGGAACTTTTGGGGGTATAAAACACTCCATTCCAGAAAGGATTTATACGGAGTTTTGGAGGCAGCATGTTTGAGAAAAGGTTAGGAAATGCGCTTATGTCATATGGGACCGAATGTTGTCCCAATCTGCCTTCGCAAAGCGAAGAACCCTTCTATGGAACGGTAAAACAGGAGATGTCATTGGTTTGGAATCCATCTGAACACTGACTTAGGGAATGGTCTGACGTACCTATTAAAACATTTACTAAGCGTTTGTCAGGACAGGATGTTAGAAAAAGGTCGAGAAGGTTTGCGTCCAGGACTCGGTGGGTTCTCCAATGATCTAGGTTAGTTCATAGACGATGGAGAAATCTGTGCAATATCTGCCTCCCTCATCGGTTTTGTTCGAGTCGACTAACCACTCTCTTTGTGGTGGACAGTGAAGTCACCGCATATGTGAAAGTTGGCTAAGGGAAATTCGATGACGTTATTGTCAATCCTCTCTGATATTACTATGTTACTCCCCTGGAGTTTAGCATCAGACATGCTGATGGAAGGCAAAAAGTGTTCTCTCAAATGATTAAAGGAACTTAAACTTAAAGTACATTAAACACGACAAAATTGTATTGAAGTCAAAAGGAAATGTAAAAATCCATTATATCAGAATTAGCGAATGTTCAAGACGAAACGATTTTGAAGTTGTATAAATCGTCCCGATTTTATGCAGTCGAAGCAAATGAACGTACACCAGTTGGCAACAATATCGGAGTTCATTAAAAATCGTGTTTGACTTCAGACCAGTTCCTACCATCCAGCACGCAGCTCGGCACATATGCGAGAAGCGATATAATTTTCCCGATCTCAAAGTCGAAAGAAACTACCACACTTAACTTCTATGATCTTGAACTAGCTGGCTCTAAACGATCTAGTAAAAATCAGTTTTGATGCATTTATAAATGCAGTACACGATTCTTTACTCATAAATGCGTCGAAATGGGAAACTGATGAAGATGCAAGGACAAATAAACTTCAGCATAAATGAAAATGTAGAACTGACAATCTTCCCAACTACAATAAAAAATAAGGTTGGAAAATAAGTTGCGGAGTTTAGAATGATTGCCAATTATAGAAAACATAGATGCATACAATTTGATGCGTAAGTCAAATTTTGATTATCACCAAGTAATTAAGCAACATATATTTATGTATAGACCATGGCATCTATATAACATCTGTCAAGATTGTACCTGTCATCTTCATGAATGTCAAAGATCTTAAGAGCCTGAATATCCAGTCGCACATGGTATTGTTGATCCCATTGTCAAGCGTTTCTGTTCTGTTTGATGTTCTTTATACTGTTCTTATCATACCTTGTTAAATACCACATGAATTTGTTTAATATTCCCATGTTGTCTACTGATATACATATGTTGTATGAACTTGAAAGCCATGTTGTTGATCGTTAAAATTTCTGTGCTACTTGTACCTGCAAAATTTGTATGATGACCAGACACGGATACAATTTTATCCTTAATTCAAGTCTGCGCTTAAAATGTGATTTCATGCATGTCAAAGGTAGGGAAATAATCAGCAAATATACAAAGTGGTATAGGGAAAGTTGACCTGAGATGTATTTTAATGCATTCACAGCCATTAAACCAATGTACATTAAGCCTCTCCGTTGAATGATAATTTCTTATTGTGAACATTCAATGATTTCTTCACTTAAGACATTGTTCTCACGTTGGATTTTATTAGTGGAGTGTAGAAACTTTATGTGTGTCTTCTCTTCTTCAGAACGAACCAATCGTTCATGGACAAATGCTGATACCATCGTGAATCCTTTTTCTTTCATTTCAACTAGGCTGCTCTCTGCGGCTTCTAAAGAGATCACTGAATATTTCTTCAAACATATTAATCATTTTCTTCACACCTCTGCTCCACCGTTTACTTCTGACTTGAACATTCGCTCGCCTTGATGTTCTGCATGTGCCTTTTTGCGTGTGTATTTTGTAACACCTTTGGAGTACATCGCCGTCACAGGGCGTGCAAGGAACCAGCGATCAAGAGCCCCCTATCTTTCAATTTCAAACCAATCATTCCACCTCTGCCTTTCATTGTTTTGTTTTCTGTGGTTTCTAGTGTATAACCAAACCTGACACTGTTGAACTTTTTCCATCAGTCAATTTCACTAGAAACAAGCTTTGATGAAATGCAGGTTTCACTTCATGTGTTAATCGCTCTATCAAAAATATAAGGACACGCATGTACTAGTAATGATTTGATGCAAAGTAAAGTTTCAGTAATTCTCTTTTCAATGTATGCTAAACAAACCATCTAACATTCTTTGAGGATGTAATATATGTTTTCAGTACTTTCTTTGTACTAATATGGTAATAGGAGAATTCTTTTGTACTGGTAAGTTTTTCAGTCAATTTGGCATGAACTAAATTGTTCAATAAATAGAGAAATGTCACAGTTATTATCCGAAAGTTGCACGTCGGATCAGTTATTTTAATATCAAGTATGTGGTGCAGTTTAATTTACATTACATGAATCATTCATACAAAAAACAGATATTGAAGTTAATGATATAAATGGCGAGAATCCATCTTCGCAAACAAATTTAGTTCATGCCACATTGACTGAAAAACCTACAAGCAAAAGAATTCTCCTATTAATACAAAAACGCACAATCTTAAAATTTAAAAATTCAACCTCAGCGTTGCGACCGCACGCTCCAAAATTGCTTACAATTAACAATAACACATTTCTAAAAACATATTTCGGATTACATCTATTGTTTCGTTGTCCTGTTATTACCGGGATGTAAAAAACAAATCTATTTCCAGACCTGATGATGTCTGTATGCACAGATGAAAGCTTGTAAAACAATAAAAAAAGACCTTATGCAACTGGAATTTATAAACAGGGATCATAACATTCATCTACAGGTCCGGGGTTAATGTAATTTATTAAATTTGTTTGCGAAGATGGATTCCCGCCATTTATATCATTATCTTCAATATCTGTTTTTTGTATGAATGATTCATGTAATGTAAATTGAGCTGCACCACATACTTGATATATATATATATATATATATATATATATATATATACAATCCTTATCTGGATTGCTAACAGCTTTACTTAGGTGATCTGCTATGCTTTCCAGAAGCTCAAAGATTAATCTGGAATATTAGCTTCTTTCTTCTCCCACCATTTTCAAAAGTTAAGAATGAAACGCGTGTTCAAATCTTTGTCCTCTAGTGCAGGGATAGCTCTGTCAAATCGTCTATCTGTTAATATTTGTTGTGTCGTATTTACAACCAATATACTAGAATCTTGGAGGAGGTGTCTTACTTGTACATTTCCATACAGAAATTCAATCCCTGAGAAAACAGACATTAACAAATGCCTCACACCTTTCAAAGTTATTTCTCCTGACAATTAATCTTCATATGTTCAAACAATTTCAATAACCTTTGTTAAAAGATCCATATCAAAACATATAGGAATTAATGAATATGCCATGACAAATGCAGCTACATTGAATCTGAGGAGAATTGTATATATAATGGCAGTTTCATTTGGTGTGGCCATTATAATAGGATTGAAGTTTCTGTCTGGTGGGACATTCTCTCTGTGTGCATGAAATAAATTGCCTGAGCTGTAATATGTTGTGTAATATCTCCGTAGCGTGTATGCTATTTCAATTTAAGATCCGTATTTGTTGTTGCGAAAGGTAGTAAAACAGTTTCTGGTTGGTTAGCTGTTTTCCTGTATAGAAAGAAAACGTTTGATAAATTTTTACTTGACATCTGTTGAATATTAAGAGACCTATCTTGAATTCGAAAAACATACATAGTGCAGGATCATTGATACCCATTTCAGAATTTACCATGGTACTTATTGGTAATGCATCGTGCACTTTCTATCCATAATTGGAGACAGCTGGGGCCATCTCATTTCTGTTGTCTCCATTGCTGACGATCATTTCTCATCATTTTCTTTGGCTGATGAGGAAGATAGCATCCTGATGACGTAGTTTCAGTTTGTCTAACAAGCACTACAGATGATGTTAAGAAACGACGAAGATCAGACGAAGATACACAATATCCAAGAGACGAAGTATGCTTAACTAGTTTTCTACTTCCAAATGGTGTAGGGTAAACAGTTAAACCCAAACTGGTCGAGGAAAACATTGTCTGATAGTGTCATGATATCAGAGGCCACACAAGACATTTTATGTAGTTTTTATGTGTAATATTCGAAGCCTCTAAGTGATATTTGTCAGTTATTTTATGATTTTATACAACAGAAGGTTCACAAAGTCCGTTAGTGATTCTATAGTGAAGTCATCCGAAGAAACATATGCCTCTTGCCAGGCTAGTGATTTTGCTCCGTGCATCCTTCTTCGTAAAATAGTAAAAGTTACATGGACAATTGATAATTTGGTTATTAAGAAACATAAAATTTGTTTTAAAAAATCTATTAAAATATCTAACTTACCTATCATGTAACATTTAGGTACCATTACTGACTCATATAAATGTAGCCATCTTGTTGCCAGTGTATTACTTGTGGAGGAGCAACCATTAATTTTTCATTTTAAACTTAATTTTCATCACATTTATGATATGGTATTATGTGTCATTTAAAGAGCCAGGGGAAAATGGGAATCAATACACATGTTTACACTAAAATCCTGGATAATGTTTTCATCTAATCGATAGAAAATTGGTTAGGTGATGATGAAGTCATTATTCAACATGATAATGTATCTTGTCACAGGGCAAAGGAAATTAAAGCTTTTCTTCAAGAAAATATAAAATCAATGACATGGCCAACGAACAGTTCAGATCTAAATCCAATTGAAAATCTATGGTGAAAATATAAAAAAAAGGTCTATGAGAAGGCTCCATCCTTCAAGAAGATCTATTAACCATCATTTGGGAAAGTTGGGCCAATTTGATGAAGAATATTGCTTTTAAATTAGTAAAATCCATGCCTGAAAGAAAGCTGTCATAAAACTCGAGAAGGAGCAACTAAGTATTAATTCTAATTTTTTGTCAATGAATTCCATCATTTTTCTCAATATTGGATTATTCCATATTTTCCTCTGCATGGCTTGGAAAAATTTAAATAATTTAATCTACGTTGTTGTTTAAGATACATTTTTTGAAGTCAGTATATTCAACTATTAAATAAAAATGTTTTGTATCTCGTTTGTGATTAATTTATTTAATGCTAAATAAAAAGCTAAGGTGATTTATACGGACGCATACCTCAGTTTTCATTAATAAAGCCACATCACTTTTATAAGTTTCCTTGAAATATTTTGAGAAAATCAAGAATTCTGATGCTCTATTTAAAATGGCTTACAATCAAAACGTATTAACATAAAATGTAAATTAGTATTCAATCATTCACCCATGACTGCGTTTACGAAGCTTTTAAACCAGTCATCGAACGATTGAAAACAATAAGCGTTGTATTCTAATGAACTTTATAGTGAGACTAATTACCATAAACCTGGAAGAAAATAGATATTCGTATAAGTCTTACTTTTTATGGCATCTATTTTATATGAATATATATTTGCTTAACTATTAGAAATGACTTACCTTCTGGCAAAGTTAAAATATTTTGTTTCGTGTTTTTCCGGAAAAGTTTCCATTTGTAAGTCGGTGTTTGTTTGGGTGTTGGAAGTGACATTGTTGAAAATTCTACTTTAAATATGGCTTCTACATTGGCTACAGTTTTCTGTAAGCAGTTTATGACGCATCTAAAATGAAGAAAATGGATAGATATAAAAACTGAATTGGATGAAAGCGATTAAGAACAAGTAAATCTTAATAAGTCAGCAGACTTTCTGAAACAATATTTATTACTGAAGTGATTATGAACGATTCTATTTCTAAGATAAAGAGTTATTTGTTCGCTTAATATTTGTCAGCAGATGTAATGTCTTCATTCTTATTTGACAAGATAATTAAGTCATTTTAGTATAAAATATTTAATCAAAAATACCAGTTAAACCAAATAAAAACAATACTGTTTCAACAGATAAACGTAATTGTACAATAATCTCCCCAAAAAGAAAAAACAGATTAAACAGAACTAAAGAAAACATCATATCATAAAGCATGCCTTGAAAATTCTAAATTATCTAAAATGAACCAAAGTAGTGTTATATATATATATATATATATATATATATATATATATATATATATATATATATATATGAGTAGGTAGGCTTTCCTACCGCCCGGTCAACACTCCTCCCCTTCTCTTGGACATGAGTAGAGGCTTACGCCTTGTTTCTTGTTTAGGAAGGGGTACTCTCTCTCTCTCTCTCTCTCTCTCTCTCTCTCTCACTGGCCTCTGTATCTCCAGTTGCCTTGATCTGTCCACTACTCTTCTCCTCATCCTTTCTTCTATCACTCCTATCTGATCTTGCTCCAAATTTTCCGCCTTGCTTGGAGTGAAACGCTTAAAATATATATATATATATATATATATATACACGCACACACAGTTTAAATTACTCAAAAGCGAAAATAACACTGACATCTCATTTTAACAGATATATTTACCAAAGTTTTCACAAAAATATCTTGAAATACTCAAGAGTAATTATGTCAACCCGGATGAAAATAAATGTATTTTACATCCTCCTCCCTTCCATTCCTTATACTCTTGATTTGTCCCTCCCTTTATTATTAATATATTTTTTTCTTCCTCCGCTACCTTAAATTTTTTTTACTCTTGCTTTGCCTTTGTACTCATTTTCTTTTTTAAATTTTTTAATTGATACTTTTTCCTCCTTTTTCCTCTACAGTTGACTTACCCCTTCCCTTTATAAAACCTTTCTTCCCTTCCCCCTTAAATTTCATATACTCTTAATTTGCCTCTCCCTTATTATTTTCCCCTCGCTTAAACTCCTTCTACCATTGCTTAACCTCTCCCCTTTCACTTAAATTTCCTCCAATATTGATTTGCCGCTCTCCTCATTATTATTGATATATTTTTCTCCCTCCCGTCCCTTACATTACCTCAACCATTACATCTCTCCTTATTATTAATATTAATTTTTCCTCCCCTTCTCTTGCATTCCAACTACTCTCGCTTAGAAAAGGAGTCACATCCAGCCAATGTGTAGATTTAAGCAAGTCTACAATAAAAAAGAGACAACAGCAACATAAATCTCTGCAATCAACTATAAAGCAACAGTCACAACCCAAATGTAGAAATTGAACAATATAACTATCCTGGGAATAGTAGACATGCTAGCAAAACTCGAAAAATTTACCAAAATAGATCTAAGGCAGGCATAACTACAATTAATGCTTGGTAAACAACTGACAACCTTAAACACACAGAAGGGATAGTATGTAACATGGATGATATATTAATCACTGGCAAGTTAAAAACCTAAAATAAGTTCTTTCCTGTCTTCAAGAATTTGGTCTCAAGGCAAATTTGGACAAGTGCTCCTTCTTTCAGGACTTTGTGATCTTCTGTGGAATAGAAATTTCCAAAAATGGATTCCACAAAACCAAAGACAAAATTGAAGCTGTGACTAATGCTCCAGCCCCAACTGACAAAACTACGCTTATTTTTAAGGCTTATAAATTTTTACCACAGGTGGCTTCAAAAGATTTCCCATGTCGCAGAACCACCCTATGATCTACAAAAGGACATTTCCTTCATATGGCACGGAAAATGTGATAAGGCGTTCAACAAAATCAAGGGGACGATCGCATCAGACATGGTCCTGATAGAGTTCGATCCCAACCTGTCTATACATCTAGCATGCGATGCAAGTCCATATGGCATCGGTTCTGTCTTGTCACATATCATCAATGGAGAAGAGAAACCCATAGCGTACGTATCCCGCTCCCTCAACAAACTGAATCCAGTTAATTCCAACTTAGCGAGGAATCCCTCGTAATTGCATGGTCAGTGGAAAAGTTTTTCATGGCGCACCTTCAAGTCGTTACGTGTCGGGAGGATTGTATTTTATTATTGTCTATCTGATTATCTATTTATTTATTTGTTTATGATTTGGCTAAGCTTTTAAGACGTTTATTAAACTATGGGATTTTTTTAATGCTAATTATTTAATGCGAAAATTTGTTGATGTCGGCAAAAAACCGTTAGCCAAATCATTAAATAAGAAAAACCCTTTCTGTAGTCGTCAAAAAACAAATTGAAATTCAGTGTAATACGGTTTGTATATAAAACACCCACTTGAATAAAAAGATGAACAGGAAGGCCTAAGGGTGAAGGTGGGGATTAAAATTTAACAGAGAGAAGTTTTCAAGAGAGGAGTTAAATATTTTTTTTATATATATATATATATATATATATATATATATATATATATATATATATATATAAGTTTTAAATTGTGACAAAGAAACTATATAACTATTTCAATCATTTCGTAAAATTTATGCACAGAAATGAACTTCATTGTAAATGAACTTTCACACCAAATATTGAGTTAGACATATGCACAATCATTCAAACATGTTTAGCTGCTCGACATGTAAAAAATACTAATTTACCTGATTTGCAAGGGAATAATCTTCTGTGGTGTTACGAACACTGCTTGTCTTGCAATTGCTATCCTGTTGTCCTTGTTGACTTGGACTTGGAAAATGTACCATTTTTTTACTTCCAGTTCAGAGGAAGATATTTGAAGCTTACTGTTATCGCTAAGCGAAGGACATCCATTTCCTCGAGCGTTCCCCGAAAAATTAACCGCATTTGTATCGAAGTTTGGGTTAAAGCTGTTGCTGAATTCAGTTCGACACGACCAAGAATACTGAAGACCTGTTGTTTTACCTTGACCCTGGTTAGGATCGTAAGACAAGCTGCCAGCATCCACAATCAAATTTTTCTTGGGTGTCATTATGACTGACCCACCCGTTATGATCGCTACCAGGTCAGGAAGAATTATATATATATAAACATGATCAGTTATGGTAATATTATTAAGCATTACACTTAGGTCAATTCGGTACATTCCTGGTTTCTCATTTTTGTCTATGATGTACGATGCATTATTGCGGACGGTTTTGTTCTGAAAAGTCCATACGTAAGACATTTGTAAGGTTTCACATTTTTCTTGTAATTCAACATTACTCTTTATTATGTTGTCTTCATTGCTTTGTAACTGTAATGGATCAGATGGTCTCTGGTTTTTGTTCATGAATAAGGCATTGCTCCTGAAACAGTCACTGATAGCGGTTACATTCGTAAAGAGGTTTTCAAAGGACAGCTCATTAAAGCATTTGACGTCAATCGCAATTTGTCCGATTGGAAAGCTTTTAAACGTTACTTCAATAATACTTATGTTTGTAATGTCTCCCAGTTTAGTCTGATTTTGTCCATCATTTAATGTAAATTCACATGTGATATTGTTCACCTCCTGAGTTTTAAGTCCAGAAGTAACGTTTAGCGTTAATGTTTCATACGTTGCTAACTTTTCTGGCGCACCCAATTGTAAGTCTTTTATACGGTTTAGAACCAACAGCGTCTTGTTAAATTTAAATTTTTCCTCAAATGTACTTCCATTTATCTTGACATCGATATTGTAGATACCAATAAGCTTAATTTGGCAATTAAAAGTCATGTTCTGTGCAATCAGATTTACCTTTTTCTTACAAACTTCAATATGCTTTTCGCTACTAAACGTGATTTCGTAAGTAATTTCAGGATCTGTAGTAAAAGCCGGATACACTAATGCAAAGGAACCACTGATACCTACATCATTAGCAAAGATTGTTGTATTTTCAATGTAAAAATAAAAAATTCCAACCTGAATATTAAAAGTAATATTTCGCATTTGGTTAAATCCATCCAGAGTCAAAAGACCGCTATAATTACCGAAGGTTTTATACATGTGCGTTTTGTTATAACTTGAAAGCAATTTATTATTAGTGCTGTCACCGTCTCCGAAATCCCATTTTGTAGTAACGAAATTAGGTAGATTGTCTTTGTTTCCACGATAGCTTAACAAGAAATCACAATCTCTGCCTAAAGGAACAATTGTGGAATAATTTAAAGAGAAATAGTGTAAATCAAATCGGGTTACCTCCGTTAATGCAGTTGCGTTTACAGAATTCATTTTTGCTGTACATTTCACATGAAAAGTAAAATTGTTCTCATTCGTGTAATTCTTTTGAAGAGTGAAACTAGTAGGAAACACGAGGTTAGTAATATTCTGTTCTGTTCCATCTCCATAACTTACGACACATTTCCCTGAAATTGATCCATTTGATTTCACGTTGATATCAAATTCCCTCAATCCATCAGGTATAAATATAGATTTATCATCGACAGTTACATTGGTCAGAATTCCGTAAACGAATATCTGTAATGTGCCATTTATACTGAAATACGGACAACTTAAAGTCCAGCTGATATTATAGATACCTTCTCTGTGGTATTCTTTAAAAAATATTCCCATTACATTGGAACTGTTCTCGAAGTAATAGTTACTAAGGCCGTCACTTATATTGATTTTAAACAAATCCACAGGTATTGTGGATTCGTTAACAAAAAAATATACTTTATCTCCAATTGAATATTCTTTTTTTTCCGATTCCAATGTTGTGTTTGTGGTAACAGTAACAATCTCTGAGATAACATTTGAATCTATGGGTGTTTTGATGACAATGCTGATATTATGTTTCCCGAGTTGTAATTTTTTTGAAACAGTTTGGTTCGTTTCCAAGAGAGTTAACGGATTTTCAGCTTGACTGTCAATAACCAAAGTAGCAGTGACGTTTGCCTGACTTAAATTACAATTAGCGTATTGTATGGAAATTTCAAGCGAATCTGGAGCAACAATATACAAATTTAGAAACGTAACATTAAATAGTTTTGCACTGGGTATAACAGTAACTTTTTTCTGCAAAGACCTCGTGTATATTCCATTCGATACAGAAAATTGTAAATTATAATTTTGACAGCTTTTGAAATCGTATGGCACGATAAAAGTTCTTCCGTTTTGGAAACACGTCAGGAATTTAAAAGATGCGCTTGAAACAATGAACATGTGCAGTAGGAGATTCGATCCATTGTTTACACTGACAGTAAAATTGATTGTTGCCTCATGGATAAACAATGATTGTGGCGGATATACACTCAATTTTCCGATTGCCTCTTCGTAACGAAGTGGAAACCAAAAGAAGGAGCTTGAACCATTTATAATCACTTCATGTGTGCCATAGCTTGAGAAATTATCAGGTGTCAGTTCTATTATTTCGGATGAGAAGACAAAAATATTACTCACAGTAACATTGTCTATGGAGATTGTAATATTTTCACTAGTATTGCCGGTTGTCACATTCAAGCTGATACAACTATTTGTCGGTAATAACAATTCTGTCCCATTTTTCGGCATTACATCTAGAACCGATAATGCGGGAACCGCTACAAAATAAAATAAAATAAATATGAGTACAAAAGAGATAATATATAATAATATAAGCGAGATATTTGGTAAGATTTGAGATAATTCTGTAGTGAACAAAACAAGATTTAAAATTCAAATGCTAAGCACTGACTCATTGATTTTGTTAGAAATTAAAAAAAGACTCGAATTTACAAACTTTGCTTAACACACACGCAAAAGCGAATGCAAAACAAAACTCGTGAAATTTCACACCTTCATGCGAAATGTTTTTCGGCCAATAGAAAACTAGGAAACATTTAAAAACAAAATTCAAATAATCTTCAATTCTCAGAAACAAATTCTTTTACGGACCTTTTCGCGAGCCGACGCGAAGTTTGTTCGTCATCCAATGGAAAGGCCCGAATCATATCCGGGAGTGAATTCCCAAATGACTTTTTCAAGCCCCATCAACAAAATAAAAGACGGACAATTTCGCCTGTCACCAGAGAGAAGGAGACGAGCGTATTAACACGTCCCTTGACAAACGTCAAGCGATCGTTATTATTATCTCTACCTTTCTCCCTCGCCTCTTTTATACTTGATAAACGAATGGAACATTTTAAGGGTGAGCGATTACTTCAAAGACATTCCTACCCTACGATAACGCTCATACACACATACATACATCCACACATACGTTCCTGCCTACGTACACATGAACTCATTCTTGCAAGAACTACTACGGACATTTTGACGACCTTGTATCAACCAAAATACATTAATTTTATTTGTAGAGATCTTAATTGATTTATATGTATATAAATTTGTTGTTTCACTTTACAATTTGATTTTCTTGTTTTATACCCCTCTTATGGTGGGTTATCTAACTAACAAGGTCAAATCAAACTAATCTGTTTCAACATTCATACACTTCACTATAACTGATAATCCACTATAATTCTACAGAGACATTTCTGATCATGCCGGCAACAGTTGACAATGGTTTACTTATCTGTATATGTGACATCATCATTATTTTGAAGTAAATATGAAGAAGAACAAGCAAGTTTCCTTGTCACTTTATAGAATCGACGAACATAATTTATGTACCACAATTATCTGTAAAAAGCTGCTGAATTCATTGAATCATAATATGAAATCCCAGCATCTTTTGTGAAGTTAATAAAATACACTTTACTGATTTGTTGTATTGTCATAAAATAATAAACATATTAAATACATATTCATTACTGATGAAACCATTCCTTGACGATTAATTAAATTTTACATGTGGGGACGTTTCCCAGAGCAATGCATATCAAAGCTAGAGGTTAAATAGCACATAATTTGAAGCTAAACGTTGAAATTTATTCTGTTTAATTTATGAGAAAGTATTTTATTCTGTTGTATATAAGCGAATAAAAATATTTTTAAAAGTATTAAAGGTATAATAATGTGTTCTTTTAGGCAAACGATTTGCTTATTATCCTTTTCATTCTATACTTTAATTTATTATAAACCTGGCCTCTGTATTTAGAGAAAACAACATACCAAATATACAATGAGATAGTGACTATATCTTTAAAATATACATTTCAATATCTTCAGTAGCTACTTTATTTTTTCGCAAAATATAGGAATGCAACAACCCCCTCTTGCTCTCTCTTTCTCTCTCTCTCTCTTTCTCACTCTGATGTGTTCAAAAAAGTTATTTTGATAAAAACATGGCTTCTTAATGAAAATCTTGAATTTTTCACTTTTTCACAGTTTTCCTTCTTCATGATTAAGCTTTTAATGCATATTAAGAATCAGCCATCGAAATCAAATTCTCAGATCGCTAAAACAGAAATTGAATGAAACGTTAAACTAAATTTGCAACTTCTAATCGAACTTAAAATTTCAAACGATGAAATGTAATGGAGTCAATTCGAGTTAAATTAGTTTTCAAAACAGTTGAGATAAAATTGCTTGCAGAACCAGGCAAGGCGGTTTTTTCAAAAAATGAAATGTAATAGAAATTTATTTTAAAAATAATTATATTTCAAAAGAAAAGAGTCACTTCAGTTATACAGCTCCTAATTATATTTCAAAAGAAAAGAGTCACTTCAGTTATACAGCTTTTAATAACAATAAACAGAAACAGAAATTTAATATCTGAATAAATGTTACATACAATAAATGTGATTTTAGATAAAATTGAATTTTACGAAACCCGAAATGATTCTTTTAAAAAAAGAACATTTTATAATTCACTGTTACAAATTCATGTTTTTGTGATAAATTATATTTTTCAGTAGGAAACATGGATTTCTGAAGAAAGTTCAATAAAGAAAAAATAAATACTTCATTTGCCAAAGCGATGATTTGAACTATAAATTCAAAAATATCTTTCACAAAAGGAATACAAGGCATTACTTCAAATTAAACACTAAAATTGAATTAAGAGAAATCTGAAATAAAAACTGACTTACCAATTTCTGCGGCTAATATAAAAAAGATGATCCACATATCTCTGTTTTAAAAACAGTGAACAAACCTAACTGTACTGAACCCCACTGACTTTAATGGACGTTGCCCATTGATAAATGGGGAAAACAATGAAAGGTGATGGGATTGATTTGTGTAATTTTTATAGTTGTATGAAACCCATTCATCTGTAGCACTTGAATGAATAATGGAACACACGCACGAACGCACGCACACACAAACACACACACACATATTATATATATATATATATATATATATATATATATATATATATATATATATATATATATATATACTCAAAATCTTTAATATAAATAGTGAGAGATAAAAAAGAAAAGGTTGTATATGATTTTGCCAGGGGAAACTGATTATGACTAAAAGAAGCCGATGATTGAACATTATCCAATGAATGACTACTGGCAACGTTATCATATTTGTTTCGATTAAAATAATTTCGACAATGAATTGTAGACATTTTTGGTCTATTTTGCATGATAAGAGTGGCTATTTTATAATGAAATAAATTAAATATATGCCTGAATAATAATTATTGATTTCTGATAATAAGTCTTTTAAAGTAAACAACATATTTTTCCTATGAATCTTTGTTGCATCATTTGTTTTAGTTCGTTGTTTTTATTTATCCACATTCCCTGTGCATTTTTGCATTCTATTTCGTAAAACTCTGTCATCTTTTTATTATATCGTATATTATGATGAAAGAGAATTATTCCAGTGAACATCGGATTGAATTTTTTTGTGAATTTTTCGTAATATGTAAAAAAAGCTCACAATTTTATTCATAAAAGCAATTAAAAGATTTTCTAATTAAATAATGTCTTAGTTTTATTGCATTTTTTATTTTACGATTCACAGCAGATTTTCGATAACTGCTGTTTCTAGTTTACAAAAAAAAAAATTAATGATTTAAATTCTCCTTTTAACTAAATATAAACATTGAAACGGTTAAAATTTCTCAAAATGTCATAAAATTAAATGAGTGTGTTTGGGATGGGATGCGGGTAACAGATCTAAAAAACAGATTTTGGATTTTGTAAAAAGCTCGTTTCAAAATAATTTCATTAATTTCTGAATAAGTCCTAAAAGTTTAATTAAAATCCGTCAATTATCTGGTGTTTGCAATAATTTCCAAATCAATGTGTTTTACATCACAAAAATATGCTCAAATTTCCCGTACAAATTTATGATCCCGCATTGAGGCCAGAAAAACAAGATATTTAACCAAAATTTCCAAGGATCTAAAAAGGATAAAAAAATAATTTTACATCAAAAACTCCTTTGATCTTTCCTCTTAATAACGCAAAAGTTTGACGAGAACATTTTGTTTTCATTATGTGTTGTATATTTCTTTCGTGTATTTTTTTATAGCGATTTCTTGTAGGTACTTAGTCTTAAGTTACTTGAATTTTATGACGAAATATTTTTCGTTATTATTTTTTAACTCATTCTTTCTCTTATAACTTTTTACATCGGAACCCCTACTACCTAAAATCTTCAAAAATTTAAATGCAACGCCACACCATCTTCTGTCTTCGTAAAACATAGTCTTGTATTGTTCTTTCTCAACACTAAAGTTTTCTCATTCTCTTTCACTCCCATAACCCCTTGCAACCCATGGCATTCACTCTCAGTAACCCATTGTAACCCTTGTTTGGATTGAAATGATTTTTACAAAGCATACCTACGGACTGTTAAATTAGTGTGAAGCCGGAATAAAGAATTTTATCTTGAAGATCGATTGTCGAATTACTAATAGAAATCAAATTTAGTTACTCGAATACTATCGCGCTTGTGAAAATGTTGCACACGCCAAATGAAAATTAAAGTCTAATATAATTATTCACGAAGTTTGTTTATAATACCTAGTAGCATATCAGATGTTTCACTTACGTACTAGTGTCAAGAGTTTTATTACTTTAAGAGGATCGTAACTCACTCAGTCAGATCTTGGGACAATTTGTCACACTTTTCTGGGGTCTACTTATTTACACCTATAAAGGTGTGGCAAAATTGTCAAACAACAAAAACCCAATTCCCTCCACCCCTTTCTTTTCTCAACACACTCCATCATAGCCGATTGAACAGATGTTCCTACAAGGAGGCCCCATGTATTGAGTGCCTACTGGGAACTTAAACTCAATCCAGGCCTCAATTCATCGGTAAAGATGCTGTGGAAATGGCCGGTCTCCTATACTGCTCTAGTAAGTACCTGACCCCTATTATTTTCTACCTTTACATGAGCCAGACAGACCAGGCCGAAAATGAAGTACTGATGCCATATATGGACTGGAGCTGTCCAGTCTTCACTTTTCTGTCTCAATAGTTTAAAAACTTTTCCTTTCCCACAGACAAAACATTGCAAGCCTCTCGCTGCTTTATCACTATTTCCATAGAAAGTGTTCATACGAACTACATTCCACCACTTCTAATCTACATGGCTAAGACCCCCACCCATGTCATGCACATTGTAGCGAACCATCCTTATACCCTTCATATTTCATTAGTGAGATGTAACCTTTCACTTGAACAGCCTTCTTCCCACGAACCGTTGCTTTGTGGAACCGACTCCTAAGAGGATACTTCCCCGATCACTACAATCTTAATCCATTAATTATTATTATCTTCTAACATAAACTCATAGACTGTGCCTCTTATTCTGTATACCTCTACCTCGAGTGGTTCCCGGGCTTTTCACAGGGGGAACATCATTATAAAAAACATGCTCAAATGGCGATGTCTACACCAGACTTCTACTACAATTCCACAAAATTTTCGTTAACCCACAATTTCACCATCAAAGCAACTTGTTCGTGTTAGCGTTAACTTTTACTGACATCGTGAATTTAACACAACCTTTTAGTCAGTGTTACGACGATATCTTAAATCGTTCTATTTATTTATTTTGTATACACCAGTTACACGTTACTACTCCTTTTCATCTCAACGTTCACATTGGTCACTGAACAACAGTATGGCGAAAGAAAAAGTAATTTATCGCGAAAAAGGGCACGTATGTTTTGTACGATATGCTGAAGACGAAATAACCAAAATAAATAATAAGACAGTGAGTGGCAGCTGTTGCTTTAAAAGTGTCTCGGATATGCTTTGTATTATCCAACCGTCGACCAATGGAAATAAATTATTCCGTCGCTAAAAGCGGATGGCGTTCTGAAAATGGTGAGCGTTGCGTTCGTGACTATCGTGCTTTTTCGTGTGTTTTTGTTTGCATGTATCTGTTGGATTTCTAGGATTGGGACTTTTTACATTGGACCTACGATTCGGGATTTCGACATTTCTTTCTGCCCCCTAGATCTTCAAGTTTGGACTTGCAATTTGTTTTCTTTAGACTATGATCTATCATATCAATTTTCTAATTATACAGTAATAATAGTAACAGTCTTAAATTGTGTGAAATCATAGACTTCTAGGATAATTGACTTTGAATGATTTGATAAAAAGCAGACAGATATAAGATAAAAATACAAAATCAAAAATAATAATTGAATTCATTTTTATCAGTTTATTGGTCTCTATGAGATGCTTTTTTTTTTGTCGACTTTCGTCATATTTGCTTAAGCCAAGTAATATTTGGAGAAAAGCAAGTTTTTGTATCCCTTTTATTTCCGATTTGTACTTATTTTTTTTCACGGGCCCATCTGTTTACTTGCAAAGTAACATGACCTCAAATTTCGAGTGATAAAAAGAAAATGAATCAGCTATTAGCCAGAAAAATGATTATTTCAGGAAAAGAATATCACGTTCAATAAATGTATCCTGTTGTTAATTGCTCGGTTATATTAATGTAAAAAAAGAGTTTGTATATCCTGAGTACGGCACAGGCATTGCATACACATGTCAATTTCCATGCATAATCAATAGAAATCAATACATAAATCATTAATAAGATAATGTAGGAAGGAGGATGAAGAAGAGAGATCAGATAGAAAACAAAGGCAAAAACAAACGTATTATAAGTGAAATTATTTGTTTCAAGTACAAAGAGTTCTGGTCATTGAGCAGAGACTTGTTTAAACCTGAAATGAAGTTGTTGTGGCTTGTTTTCAAAGAATAAAAAAGGCAAAAATCAAACAAGGCTGAGTTGCTATTCTGTTACCTCGAATTAGTTTGTCACACTTCTACCCAAAGGTCATCGGGGGTGGGGTTCGTTTTAAAATGAATCTGACCTGTTTTTCGGTACAGTTTTTCGGTACAGTTTTTAGAATAACTTCCACATTTGATTCTTTGGAAATGCTTTGTCTAATTCTACGTTGATCATTGAACGTCCAAAAATGATAGATATTTCCATTTTTAATTGATCCTTTATCTGTTATATTCTCTGAAAACACAGCACTCGTTTTTGGCTTGAGTAAATTTAAACTCATTTGGCTTTGCTTTCCCAGAAAATGGATAAATATATAAAAAGTTGTAATCAATAAATTCAAGCTCATCTACACAAATATATGCCAAGCGTCTCTGGGTCACGTTTATAGTAACTAATTCGTTAAAACATTAGTATACCATGATGAAAAAATGCTTAATAAAAACAAAGTTTTATTGCCAAAAGCTTTGTTATTATTAAGATGAAAGAACAAAGGATTTTTTTTTTATTATTAAATTACATTTTTAATCCTTTTTAGAACGTCCGAAATTTTGGTGAAAGTCTTGTGGTTTTTTTTTTTTTTTTTGGTTTTTTTTTCGTCAGTGGGGTAGAGGCAAAGATTAGTATAGGAAATTAGAATAATTTATAAAATTTTAAATCTTTCAAAATTCTATATTAGGTGATATTGTTATTAAGTAGAAACTATATTTACTAATCATAAATGGAAAAAGCTTATTTTAAAAAGAATTTTGAATTTTTTGTATACCAGTTTTTGTAAATACGGACGTCCATACACGACATTATCGGAAAATAATAGCGATAACTATTTTAAATTTTATGCCAATGTACCTAAAATTCAATAAAGCATTAGATTACGAAAAATATTTTCCTAAATTTT